CTGCGCGCCGCCCCGACGTCGACTGCTTCCGCTGCGGCCGTCGGGGCCACTATGCCAGGGACTGCTGGGCCCGGGTTCCGGGGCCGCCCCAGCAGGAGGCCTCGACAGCGGACGCCCCAAAGAAAGACCCTCCGGCACAGGCAAGTCGGTGCGCACCAGACACCCGGCAAGGCCTGACACCTCACTCATCGCCGTTGTTATGCGACGCGGATGTTGTAAAATACGGGAGGCCAGTATCTGAGCCTTGTCGCTCGATAACGCAGTGGCGTAAGCTGGCTCGGCGGGTTGTCGCGGCCGCTACCGGTTCGTCCACTGTACCTGGGTCCATCCAAGGGGTGGACGTACGTATTTTGGTGGATTCCGGTGCGTCCGCAACCATTATTTCGGATGTGATATTCCATCTTTTGAACATCCCACCGGGGGCCGTGAGGCCGGCTTACGCTTCCTGCATCGCTGCGAACGGGGGTAGTATGGGCATCGTGGGACAGGTGGACGCTAACATTTCTATCGGGGGTGTCTCGGCCTCGGGCGTTGTGTTGATTTCGAGGTCCCTGGCGGTTCCTTGCCTGTTGGGTACGGATTTTTTGGCTAAGATGCCCATTCTAATTAGAATCAATGAAAATTGCATAGAACTACCGGGGGGCCGGAAATTGGAATTTTTACAGTCCGCCTGGGGGCGGCCGGCTCCTGTCGCCCAGGTGCAGGCGCTATCGGAAGTTTCGGTTGATATTCCACCTGGCTCTCAGATGCTCATTCCCTTACGATACCGGAAGCCGGTTCCGGGTCGGCAGGGTGCTTTTGGGATTTTGCTGTCGCCGTCCGCCGCGGTTACGGGCGGCTTAGCGCTGGTAGGGGCACAAACTATTGTCCGTCCAGATCAGCGCCCGTTTTTGCAGGTGTTAAATGCGAGTGCTGAAAGCGTGTGTGTGCCAGCTGGTACCGTTGTGGCACATGCCACTACGGCGTTTACGGCCCAGAGTGACCTGCCGGACGGGGGGCTTGTGGGTGGTGTTTCACACGATGGTGGGGTTGATGATCGTTGGATCGCCGAATTATGTGGGGAAAATTCGGCCCTTTCCACCGAGCAGCGTTGTGCGATTCATAAATTATTATCGAGCTATTCCGATGTGTTTAGCTCGGACGATTTGGACTTGGGACGCACCTCGCTTCTCTCTCATCATATCGACACGGGGGACGCTGCCCCTATCCGGTTGAACTCGCGTCGGATGAGTCCGGCTGAGCGTGAGCATGTTCGAGGGGCAGTGGAAGACATGTTGAAAGCGGATATTATATCTCCGTCTAATAGCCCATGGGGCGCGCCTGTTGTGTTGGTTAAAAAGAAGGATGGTAAATTGCGATTTTGTGTGGATTTTCGGAAGCTGAATAAAGTGTCGGTGGCAGATGCGTATCCCCTGCCGCGTATGGACGATTCTCTCGACGCCTTGTCAGGGGCTACGTTTTTTTCAACGCTAGATCTCTTATCGGGCTTCTGGCAGCTCCCCCTTGACGAGCCCTCGCGAGAAAAGACAGCTTTCCGTACGCCGCAGGGGTTATTCCAATTTAACTGTCTTCCGATGGGGTTGAATGCTGCCCCTGCCACTTTTCAGAGGTTGATGGAGTTGGTGTTGACGGGGTTGCAGTGGGAGACATGTCTCATTTATTTAGATGATATTATAGTCTTCAGCCGCACATTTGATGAGCATTTACTGCGGTTGGAGGCTGTATTCGCCAGAATGCGTTCTGCTAATTTGAAATTCAAGCCTAAGAAATGTCATTTACTGCAACGCTCCGTTCGATACTTGGGACATATTGTTAGTGCGGACGGGGTGGCCACGGATCCAGAGAAAACTGCGTGTGTCAGGGATTGGGCAACCCCGGCCACGGTGGGTGATGTGCGTCGGTTTTTGGGGTTCGCCTCATATTATCGGAGGTTTGTTCCGAATTTCGCTACTATCGCCAGGCCTTTACATCTCCTTACTGGGAAGGGGCATAAATTTGTGTGGGGACCGCCGGAGGAGGCGGCGTTTCGGAGCCTGCGCGATTTATTGGCTACTGCGCCGACGTTGGATTATCCGGATTTTGAACATCCCTTCATTCTGGATACTGATGCGAGTGACACTGGTATTGGGGCGGTGTTGTCCCAGTCAAAAGGTGGTGTTGAGCGTGTGGTGGCGTATGGGAGTCGAGTTTTGTCTCCCGCGGAAACCCGTTACTGCGTCACTCGCAGGGAACTTTTGGCTATTGTGTTTTTTCTCCGCCAATTTCGACCGTATCTGTACGGTCGGTCGTTTATTGTCCGCACGGACCATGCGGCCTTGCAGTATGCTCTTAAGATGGACCAGCCATCCGGGCAATTGGCGAGATGGCTGGACACGTTGCAAGAATTTTCCTTCCAAATTCACCATCGGAAGGGTGTGCGTCACGCTAACGCGGACGCACTGTCCAGGTTGCCGCAACAATCCCCTTGTGCGTGTGCGTCGGGGACGCATAGGTGTGGACCGACTCAGCCCCCCCCTCAGCCTGTCGCGCTGGCGGTGGATGTTCTCGAAACTCCGCTTACACCGGGACCGGTTGATGGGGGACCGGCTGACGGGATTTTGCGTCTTCCGAGGTCTGTGTGGATTCGGGAGCAAATGTTGGACGATTCTTTGGTGTCGTTACGAAAACGAACGGAGAAGGCGGGTAAGGAACTCGGTGCGGGTGGTATTTCGGAAACTGCTCTCCGAGATGGGTTACTGATGTGGAGGGAAGGGATACAGGAACACTGGCGTCTCGTTGTGCCTGCGTCATTGCGGTACGAGTTGATTAGATCTTTGCACTTTGACACACTTTTACACCTGGGGGTGCAGAAAACCCTATTGACGCTGCAACGAGACTATTATTGGCACGGCATGACGACGGATGTCGTCAGTCACGTTCGCGCGTGTCCCGATTGTGCCCGCCGTAAACCACCTAAACATCCATATGTTCCGCCGATACAATCGATTCAAGTATCTCGGGTTAATGAGCTGGTGGCGTTAGATATTTTGGGACCCTTTCCGCCATCCGCTAAGGGAAATAAGTATTTACTGGTGGGGGTGGAGTACCTCTCTCGCTGGCCGATGGCCTGGCCTTTGCCTGACCAGTCAGCGGCGTCTATCACTGACGCCTTTCTATTTGGGTATGTAATGGACAAGGGGGCGCCGGAGAGGCTCCTTACAGATCAGGGGCGTAACTTTTCGTCCAAATTGTTAGGGGAGGTGTGTGCGGCTTTGGGAACTAAAAAGATACGGACGTCCCCCTACCACCCACAAACGGATGGGATGGTGGAACGGTTGAATCTGACTCTGTCCGCCATGCTGTGCCATACAGTCGGGGAAAATCAATCTGATTGGGATTTGCATATCCCTGGGGTGCTTTCGGCGTATCGCATGACGCCGCACGCGGCTACTGGATACTCGCCGTTCTTCCTTATGTACGGCCGTGAGAATGTGCCGCCGATTAATGAGCAGTTGGGAACCGGTGCGAGGGGACCTGTTAAGCCTCTTCCTGAGTATATTCAGGACAACGTTCGCCGTGTCACTGAGGCGAGGGAAAGAGCCCGCATGGCTACAGCCAAAGCTCAGGCCAGGAATGAGCGGTGTGCCCGACGTTCGAAGGGGGAGTGCCCCTGGAAGAAGGGGGACCTGGCCTGGCTTCATTGCCCACAGGTGCGGCCAGGCACCTCTCCTAAATTACACAAACCGTGGCAAGGTCCGGTCCGCCTCATTGAGGTTCCCAACCCACAGTCGGCGCGTGTTCAGGTTGGTTCGCGGCGCTGGTTCGTGCATACATCCCGGTTGAAGCCATACATTGCCCCGCGGCCGGATGCGTCATCTCCCGAAGTTGCCTTGCCGGGGTCTGTTGCTGCCGACTCGCCCTTGCCTGTGTCTGCTGACCTTGCGAGAGCGCCTGTCGTACCCTTCACAGACAAGCCGGCCGTGACAGCGCAGGGAGGAAGACGTTCCGCTCGTGGGATGCCGACCGGTGCCGCGGAACCCACGGGACCTGCAGCTCTTCCTATCCCTCCGCGGACGCGAGTACGGGATGTCTCTGGACGCGAGCGGGACAGTGGCGGGCCTCCAATGGCGACGGAAGAACTTGCGCCCGTCGCCCCTAAAACCCTTCCACGTTCCCGCTCGGCGGGTGGGCTGCCGACCGTCCGGGACGGCCCGGCTACCCGTACTCGCTCGAAATCCCTCACGTTTCGTTAGATTGTGTTGTGTTGTGTTCATTGTTATATTGTTCTTGCATGCTTCGTGTCTTTTTACGTGTTGGCCCTTTACACCCGCATTGCTTTTCAGGTTGCAATTCAGCCGAGGTCGGCTGGATTTTCTTTATGGGGGAGGGTGATGTAATGCGGGTGTAAACGGCCCTCCGGAGGTGCCGTCATGAGGGGAGGAGTTAGGTCACGTGGGGGGAGAGGGGTTGAGTATAGAAGGGGGGGGACCGGAAGAGGATAGGGAGTGACGGGGAACCAGGAACAGAGAGAGGCCACGAAGGGCGAAGCGGAAGGTGGCGAGATCGCCACGAACACGGGGGAGCGAGGATCGGCACCGTTGGCCAGCGGTGACTGACCCGAAGCAGCGAGGAGGCTGCAGTCAGCAGCGGGGCTGCATACAGAGTCAGCAGCGGGTCTGCATACGGTAGCAGCCAGAGGGTCTGCACATAGGGGTAGCAGCGGGAGTCTGCATAGAGGTAGCAGCGAGTCTGCAGGGAGGAGGTTACAGTAGATGAAACAGAGAGTCAGAGGGAAGAAGGAGCTATAATAGCAGTGAATAGCCGGGGGCTACAAATACAGAGTTATAACAGAGTGCCGTGTGGGTGAGGACGAGAACCCAATAAAAGACACGAAGACAGAAGGAAGTGTCCGAGTCCTTTTATTACACTATGATGCCTGAGGTGTATTTTCCTTGTAGCAATCTCCAATGATCACCAGTCAACTTCATACATTGTTTATTGAACCCGAGGAACTACGCACACGCATGCATCATCGAGCGTTGATTCAAGCCGCACAAGATGACGTTACCCGGCGCATGCTGTGGCATTTGCAGGCTCCAGTCAGGCACACAACAGCATTATCGTCATTATTGTTGCGACCCTTACGGGCCGCTCCTCCTCCCCCAGGTGTACATATGAGCCATGCATTGGGGCCATAGCCATTAGATACTTTTTTAATGGTTATCAGGAGAGTTCAGGGCAGAACGTTATTTTACACCAATGATAATTCAGATTCCAGGTAAAGTGGTTAACTGTTTAATGTGTTTCTCAAAATTAAACAGTTTAAGAGTAGAGTACTGGCGCATGCGTGTGATCATATTTTATATTTCAGTTTTCAGGCAGAGTGAGGGAGTTTCGAAGGTTGTTTCTGAATATTTCAGGTACACGGTCGATTAATTTGGAGCTCAATTAGAAAATTGTTCTTGATAAACTCCTGTCCAGCCGAACAAGCACAAAGGGAACAGGGAATGTGCACAGTAAATAGCTGTCACCCGAGGTGATTGTTACAAAGCAGATGTGGAGGAGGCTGAAATGTTTTTGGAAGAAAACTAGTTTCGAGCCTGTCTGACTCGCTTACAGAGCGGCTTGTAGATTTGCCAACCGACTCATTATTGAGTTTCACAGATCGTTTTATGCTGTGCACATCAATGACTCGGTTCGTGACCCTTATGCTCTGTGGCACGTTATGAAGGGTCTGCTGCCCGGTATGTCCACAGTACTTGCGACATTCTTTGCCAATAAAAGCAATGATCAAGATTGATTTTTCTAATTACAAGGCAAGGCATTCTCCTGGTTTGCGATCTGAGTTTGATCAACCTGGAACCAATGCAAAACTCGAGACCCTTGCATCAACGTCGGTGGCAGAGGTGTCGATGTTCATTGCACAACTGCCAAATGAGACGTCGCCGATCGACTACATCCACACGTCGATTCTCGAATCGTGTTCAGGCGTGCTTGCATTGCCGATTGTCCACCTCGCAAATCTTTTACAGACCAGTTCAGAATGGCACAAGTAACACTACTCCAACTTTTGCAGTCGACATACCGGAAGTTCCACAGCACTGAGACGGTTCTACTTAAGATCACTAATGACCTCGACAAAATGATAGGCGACTGGTAAACCGCAGCATTGGTTAGCTTCGATCTCTCAACCGCCTTCTACACGATTGACCTTGAGATACTCATCGGACATCTAAGGTCAAGGTTTGGTGTATCAGATATGACACTGGGGTGGATTGACTCATACCTAGATGGTCGATGACAGTTATCGCCTATGCAGTGCCTAGTGGTATACTATCGGGGTTCGTCCTCGGCCTTTCCTATTTTCAACATTCGTCTCTCTGATCGCTGATATCATTTCATCGCATGACATCAAATTCCATCAATATGCTGATGGTACACAATTGTACACCGCAGTGAAGTCAAAGTTAAATATGAAGAGCCTCGGTAATCTCGAACATTGCATGCAAGCGGTGCACGTACGGTTTTCACTAAACGAAATGCTGTTTATTCCAGAAAATTCGGAGGCTCTGCTTTTTGGCACTCAGGCGAAAACAAATTGTGGGAGCATCAGGTGTGGTGGTTGGACTCCAGGATTCAGTTTTCTACTCTTCTAAAGAGCCTCAGCACCATACTTGACCCGAATATGTCGTTTGATCACCACGTGCAAAATATAGGCAGGTCCTGCAATTTTTATTTCAGGGCTCTACGACACATTCAACCACTATTGAGTCATACCATCGACAACTCGATTGCGTGTAGTATAGTATCGACAAGGCTCGATTATTGCAATTCACTACTCTATGGGATGTCTGGCAAAAACATTACCAAGCTGCAGTGTGTACACAATTCTCTGGGACGTGTCATGACGGGTACTGCAAAATCCGACCATATCTGTCCAGTACTCACTGGGCTGCATTGGCTTACATTTGCCAAACGAATACAATATAAAGTCTCACTCGTCTGGGATGCTCTTCCTGCTGATATTTGGCAGCCACTCGAGCTATGCACTTTTATTCTATATCGAAAACGAATTTCTTTAGAAGGGGTTTTTGTGTTTAGTTTGTTGTCCTTCCACCGCACCTCCGTTTAGCGTGGTTGTCTACGTACGTTCCGAAAGAAGTTCAACATATATATAGAGTGAGGGGGTCCAGGAGAAATGTTATTCACAGGTTGTCCCAGAGTTTTCACGCAGATTGTTTGCTACAGGAAGTATATTATTTTCAGGTTCCAGAGTTTGCCAGGCTGAGTGGTATTTAGGCCGCTCTCAGCCATTGTGGCGTTTGCGTGGTGATCCTGCCTCCACCGTGCACTTTCAAGAAGGGAGAGTTCACTGTTGATGAACCTCCTAGGCTTCTAAATTTCTGCAACCTGTGACCAGAGGGCGTTCGACGTCTATAGTATCGCTGAGTATGAAGACCGCGAGTCTCTCCAGCATTCACCCGACTGAAACTATTGACCAGCGTATCTTCACTGCATAAGAGCGCTGGGGTCTGAGGCTGCAAGCTGCTTCTGCATCAGAGCCCAGGAGTCGAAAGCTGTAAGCTGCTCCTGCATAAGGCCAGGAAGAGTTTCCAGAGTCAAGACTCCATTGTGCAGTTGGGGAACTCTCGGGGAGATGTGAGTGGGTTGGATGATGTAATTGTTTTATGTGATGTTTGGTTGTTGTTTTAATTATTAAAGTGTATTTTGGAAGAGTCAGTGGCTCCCTGATTCGGTTGACTGTGCTGGGGAGTGGCTGTGATGCCCGGAGCTCAGGTGCGCTGGAATGCTTTACGAGGGGTTGGATAGAGGTCCGGTCAAACTCCCCAACCCTCACGATCATCAGCTGCTGAGCTACTGGAACCCAAGAGCAGGGCCTGCGATGTGAATATCACAGAGCTACCTCTGAGATTCCTTCAAGTGACCTCTAATCTATAGAGTAGAGAGTAGCACTTTCCTACCCACCCTTGCCACTTAATGCCATGCTTGTCACGTGACAGTCAAAACGACGTTTTAATGCTCAGAGATGGATTCTTTTTCTAAATCAAGTGCGGAACCGAATTTAATATCATGGGTCTCTATGCGAGTCATTCGTGACTGGGCTGAGACCATCACGTCACTACACAATAGAACCCAGTTTAAATCGCAGGCAGTGGATGATACCTGGATTTGAACCCAGGATCACAGCTTTACCAGCACAGCACTCTTAACTCAGAGCCACCAAGGCATCTGTCTCCACCTCTACAGTTTACTTTTTTAAGTTTTATATTTAAACTTTTATGGCAAATAAATCTGGTTTGGTGGATCAGTGGGTAGAGTGATCGAGCAGCTCGCAATAGGAAGGTTGCGAGTCGGTTAGTGCGTTTCTTTGGCCCATCATCCTTCGATAAAAAAAATATCATGCTGTGGGGGAAGATCAAAATGGTTGTCATGTGGAGAAACTCCACCCTTACCATAAGAATGTGGAATTCCCACCAACGACTCTGCAGGTTCTATAAACGGGAGATGAGAATAAATGCTTCAACGCTCAACGTGAGCAGCAGGAAATCAACGTGAGCTTTTTGAAAACCAACGCACATCCCCGGTCACTCCTCGAGCTGGTCATTTTGCGTAAGCGGCGCAGACTCGATCTGGCACGTGGCAATGGCGGTGGTAGGGGCCAAGGAGGAGGAGAGGGGCTGCGCGTGGCCGTAGTTTCTTGCGTGGAAGAGACGAGAGATCTCGACGAAGGACCGGTCCTTTGTCTCAGGGAGGAGGATGCACACAAGAATAGTCCCTATGACGCAGTCCACCATGAAGAACACGAAGCAGTAGGGCCCCATGTCCTCCTGATAAGGGCAAAACCAGAAATAAGCATCAGCAGTAGCATGTGTGTATTATGTTAAACTTATTTCGCACCCTACGTAGCCAACTGCGCTAATCGGAGGTACGGGAGAAATGGCAACAAAGTAAACACAAAAGGCATGTTGTGTTTAGCATCACCAATCAACTGCTGGTTTGACTCACACTGTACTCACACTGTTAATGTGTGAGTCACTTTCACACACTCCCTCATACGCAAACACTTAAACTCTTGCGTTCCCTCACACACAAAGACAAAGATTCCAAATATATCCTTCAACATACTGTTGGGACAAGAGCTGTTAGCAAGCATCTGACTCACTCGCACTTGTTCTCACCGTCACTTTCACTATGACTCACACTCATACTCTAACTCACTCTCACTCACTAACTCTCACACTCTCACTAATTATCACAGACACTCTTTACTCGCCCTTTTGCACTCGCTCACATTCACTCCTCATACTCTCACTCAAAGCCACCAACTTTCATTCGCTTACACATTCGCTCTCACCACAAGAAAAGGGAAAAGGAGGCCAATGAGGAAGAAGCTGAACCAGTTGACGCTGCCGCTGATGACGAACGCGGCCGAGCGTGAGTCTTGCATGAAGAGCTCTGCTGGCAAGATCCCCATAATCCCTCCTGGACTCGCGCAGGGATCACGTAGGGGTCACACGCGGGTTTATGATGACGATGATAGCAACTATCGTGATTGAAGTGACACGTGTCGTCTCATCACCACGTGCGAGACCTCTCCTCACCGGGGCCGATGCCGAAGCTGAGGATGTAGGCAAAGATGAGAGCCACGCTTAGGTAAGGCATCCAGATAGAGCGCTCCTGTGCCAGGGTGAGAGGAAAAATAACGCCACATCATCATGAAATTCATAATATAGGTTTTTGGGTCAGATCGCGTTGTTTATAAATGTGTCGTAACCTTCTTGGTTCTTTCGGTAAAGTCACGTAGAAGGGAAGTAATAAAATAATAAAAATATTATTATGTTTTATTTTATGTTTTATTTTTATTATTTTATTACTTCCCTTCTACGTGACTTTACCGAAAGAACCAAGAAGATGAATCCCTGCAGTCACGAAAGCTTTAAATCGAAATTTTGTGTCGTAACCCTCCACCACCTGACACGGCCAAACAGTAAAAAATGTGTCACGTATTCAAAGGACAAAATTAATTGACTTCTTTAGCCCACCGGTGTGCTGAAGAGAGAATCAACAGCATTTTTAAATCCTTTATATTAAGTTCACTTGCTTGCGTGCTTGCTTGCTTGCTTACGACCGTGCAAATATTTCGGTCGTTTTTTAACCCACTTCCAGTGATCCAATCGAGCTGACATTTTGCACACAGAGTCGTTGTGCGTGACAATTAATTCGTGTGAAATTTTTTTCCAAAATTTTACACTGTTTAGGGGAAAATTTGTAAACATTTATTTACCAATTGCTTAATGGTGGCAGACAATCATCTGACCCATAGGTGGCAGCCATCTCAAGCCAGAGGACGAGACGACTCTAGCCGCCACGCATATAAAGGATTTATAGTGAAAAACTTTGTTTTTACGGGTTAATTTTTAAAATTTTAGTACGACGTTTCGCTGATAATTACAATCAGCTTCATCGGGCAAGAATGGTGAAGCTCTCCTGTTGCTTCCGGTCTTAAATAGAGCAGCATCAGGGTGATGTCATCGTTTAATTCAATTAAATATGGTGCAGTGATTCGAGGCAAGGAGGGGGAGGGTATTGTAATTATATAGATTGGTAATCATTCAATTGTTATTCATTGGTATTTGTTTCCCTTATAAGGAATTGTAATTGTATTTATTTGATAATACGCTTCCAGGCCGCACTAAACCCATGTTGATTTTAAATGTGGAAACTGGAGAAAAATCCATGTGACCACGGGGGAGAGAGATATTGAAAGTTCAAATACACAGGCGTCAGGGTCTGGATCGAACCCACAACTTCCTGTATACTAGGCGAGGTAATTAACATCTCGCCACCATCAACGTAATCAACACAATTTAAAGTTTTGTTCATTTAAAATTTTCATTCAGGTTTGCATTTCGTACGTCACATTTTAAAAGCTGGAACTAAACTAATCAATGTGAATAGCTATGGAGTATTTGGCATTAAGCCGTGGGTGATGGAAACAGTCAAGGGAAGGAATTGCATTTTGTACAAACAGGGTCCCCATTAAACTATAATAGCCTCGTGTCCCCCTTAAAACATAATTTGGCCCTGGGAGTAGTTGCATTTTCTGTGAGATTGTTGCTCCTACCTGAAGTGCCAGAGACACGGTGATGGCTGCACAACAAAGCGACATGAGAACATAGCCACACAGCAGCAGAGGTCTCCTGCCCAGGCAATCCACCAGCATGCCCTACACACAGAGAGAAAGATCCCCCATGTAATAGCCTTTAACAGACTGTTGGCCTCGTGCTGTTCTCGAGTATCTATTAAGACCAACACAGCACAGGAGGGGGTGGTTGGCCATCAAAACACCCTTTGTATCTCCAATGGTGATATTTACACACTGCACATTCCCTGAAGCTGTCATTGTCTCTGTGTACTATAGCTGCTGTGCCAGTATCTTTTCTGTGTTCTCAGCCAGGGCTGGAAATGGGAATATATGATTTTGGATTTGGATCATACAAACTGAGCCTGAGCACATGGGGGTGGTGAAAGCGAACATTGACTAATACATATAATTTAGTTTCCTGTTACAGCATGTTCATTTATAAATAATATAGAAATAATATGTAACTTGTTATATAAATATTCTCATACCCCCATCGAAGGATCGTAACCTTATCGTGGTGGTGAGGTCTGTGTGTTATAATGACCCTTAGAGCTATGTCGCCTGGAGTCTTGTACTCCTAGTAGGGTCTCCCTTGGTAAAACGCTCTGGGGGGAGGTTCTAGAAAAATAACGGTAAAAAAAGCTGCTCATGAATGGTTAAACAATACAAAAATCAGAGAACCTTGCCCGTACAAGGGATACCGGGACACACCCCTCGAGCCAGGCCTCGGGGTGGTGTTCACCAGCAAGAGCCTGGTGGCCAGGTGACCCATGTAACCCGGTCGGGCCCAGCTCGAAATGACTACGTAGTGCCATCCTGTGGGCCCACTATCCGCAGGACGAAGGGTGAGCGGCGGGTGCGATGCCTGTATGGCAGGGAGAGGGATGGTCTCAAATGCACTGGACCTTGGCGATGGACATTAGCTATTGGGATGTGGAATGTTACATCACTGGGGGGGAAGAAGCCAGAGTTGGTGGAGGTGGAAAGGTACTGACTAAATATAGTCGGTCTTACCTCCACAGACAGCATTGGCACTGGATCCAAACTTCACAATCGGGTGTGGTCTTTCTCCTATTCTGGAGTAACCTCTGGTGAGAGGCCTAGGCGGGTGTGGGGATACTCAGAAGCCCCCTGCTGGGTGCTGTTCAGTTGGAATTTGTCCCAGTGAATGAGAGGGTCACGCCAATGAGACTTTGGTTCTCAGACAGGAAAACTTTAACTCTTGTCGGTGCTTATGTACCAAACAGCAGTTCAGATTATTCGGCCTTCTTGGAGACGATAGGTGCAGTGCTCGACAGAGTGCCATCTACCAACTCCATAGTCTTACTGGGCGACTTCAAAGCTCACGGGGGAAACGATAGATATTCCTGGAGAGGCGTGATTGGGAGGAATGCGCCCCCCTGATCTGAACCAGAATGGTGAGGTGTTATTGGAATTCTGCGCTAGTCACGGAATGTCAATAACAAACACCATGTTCAAACAGAAGGATGTTAATAAGTGTGCCGAAGGTGAATTATTGACTTTATAGTTGTATCATTGAACCTAAGGCCGTATGTTCTGGAGACTCAGGTTAAGAAAGGGGCAGAGCTGTTACATGTTCACCATAGTGGTAAGTTGAATCCGATGCTTGGGGCACCGACCAGATAGACGTGGAAGGCCCAAACGAATAGTTCCGGTTTTCTGGAAACGTCTGGCGGAAGACCCAGTGCAGAAAAATTTCAACTTCCACCTCCGGAAACATTTACACTGCAGTCCAGGGGAGGTCGTGGACATTGAGTCCGAGTGGACAATGTTCAGGACCTTTATTATGGATGCAGCTGTGAAAAGCTGTGGCCTGAAGGCAGTTGGTGCCTGTCATGGTGGCAATCCTAGGACCTGCTGGTGGACACCAGTGATGACGGAAGCTGTCAAGTTAAAGAAGGAGGCTTTCCTAGCTATGCTCAGAAAACAGTATCCAGACTCGATTGAGAGGTACTGGCTTGCTAAGAGGGCGGCAGCTGCAGCAGTCGCTGAAGCGAAAGCCCTGGCATGGGAAAAGTTTGGAGAGGTCATGGAGAGGGATTACCGGGAAGCCTCAAAGATGTTCTGGAAAACCACCTGATCCTGTAGGAGTGGTCGACGGGACATGACCCAGGCTGTTTTCAGTAATGGTGGCATAACATTGACCTCAACTAAGGAGATAGTTTAGAGGTGGAAAGAATACTTTGAGGAGCTCCTCAACCCGGTGGACATCCCCTCTGCTCAGGAGGCAGCTCTGGAAACAGCTAGATGGTTGGATACATCACGACTGCTGAAGTTGCTGCAGCAGTTGAGAGGGCCTTCGTAATGGAAAAGCTGCAGGGGTGGATGAGATTCGCCCAGTTGTTAAAAGCGCTGGACAGTGTAGGAGTGTCGTGGTTAACACGCCTCTTCAATGTTGCTTGGAAGGCAGGTACAGTACCTCTGGATTGGAAAACTGGGGACGTGGTTCCCATTTTTTAAAAAAAGGGGACCAGAGGGCGTGCTGGAGAGGAGGCTCCGCCCGGTGGGCGAGCCTCAGATTCAAGAGGAACAATCTGGATTCCGTCATGGTCGTGGAACAATGGACCAGCTCTTTTCCCTCTCACAGATATTTGAGGGGTCATGTGAGTATGCTTCTCCAGTCTAACTCTGCTTTGTAGACTTGGAGAAAGCATATGATCATGTTCCCTGCAATGTCATGTGGGAGGTGCTGCGAGAGTATGATGTACCGGTGCCGCTTTTGTGCGCTATCTAGCCCCTCTATTCCCAGAGTGAGAGCTCTGTCCGTATTCTTGGTGTTAAATTAAACTCGTTCACTGTGGGTGTTGGACTTCACCAAGGGTACATCTTGTCTCCACTCCTGTTTGTGATTTTCATGAACAGGATATCAAGACGCAGCCAAGGTATGGAGAGTATCTAGTATGGAGGCATAGAGGTGGCGTAGCTGCTTTTTGTAAATGACGTCCTCTTTGCCTCGTCTGTCTGTGATCTCCAGCGTGCACTTGAATGGTTTGGTGCCGAGTTTGAAGTGGCTGGGATGAAGATCAGCACCTCCAAATCTGAGGTCATGGTTCACTCCCGGGAGATGGTGGATTGTTTTCTCTAAGTGAGGGGGGGAACAGCTACCCTTAGTGGAGGCGTTTAAGTACCTCGGGGTCTCTGTCGTGAGTGATGATAATGGGAGCGGGAGATCGGCTGGTGGATTAGTGTGGCATTGTGTTGCGGGCACTGTACCGTTCCATGGTAGTGAAGCAGGAGCTGAGTTCTCGACCAATAAGCTCTCGGTTTACAGGTCGATCTACATTCCCACCCTCACTTATGGTCATGAACTTTAGGTAATGACCGAAAGGATGAGATCACGGGTACAAGGAGCCGAAATTAGATTTATCCACAGTGTTACCTGGCTCACTCTCTGTGATCGGGTGAGGAGCTTGGTAATCCGGGAGAGCCTCAGAGTCCTGCTGCTGCTCCTCCGGATCGAGAGGCGGCAGTTGAGGTGGTTTGGGCAAAGACCCCGGGGGCCAGCCCAGGACACACTGGTGGGACTATGTCGGCCTGGGAATGCCTGGGAATTCCCTAGGAGCTAGAGTCTGTTGCCAGGAAATGGGAGGTTTGGACCACCCTACTCAACATGTTGCCACCACGACCCTCATCAGGACAAGCGGACTGAGAAACGAATGAACGAACAAATATTCTCATACCTTTTATACACTTATATGTAAGTTTTCCTCCCATGTGTAGTAAGTATTCAGGAGGCTTTGACGACGGGGTCGGAGGCACACTTATTTATTAACACCAACTTGTGCACAGTAACGGGTACACACAGTACTTAAGGGGGTATCGTCCCCTTCACTCGGCTACAGGGAGACACAACATCTAACCCCGCTAACCTACGCCCAAGTCCTCCACTACGGAGCTAGGGGAGGCTACCTATCCCAGCCCTGGTCAAGCTGGGATCCCGGCACCCTGAGTCTCCAGACTGGCTCTTATAAGAACGTCAGTCTGGGCTCTCGGGGCCACGCCACCTGCTTGCCCTGGTCGGCCCCGACAAGGACAGCGAGCCAGGGGAGCTCCGGGGCCTATTCTAGCTGGTCTTCAGTCTTCGCTGGTTTAAACTAATACTCGACCTCGAGCCCTCCGGCTCACCACCTTTTATAGTACTCGGCCCCCGGGAGGGGCCCGTGGGGGATGCAGGTGCGGACGTCGGTGTGAGCACCTCCTCTGTGTACGGCCCTAACCACGCCCCTTGTGTTTGTTAGCCATCCGTGCCCAAACACAATTACACCTCTACATCACACCCCCCCTGTACAGCTCGCAGCCGTCCCCGGCTGCAAAAAAAATCAGAATAAAGGTGCATCCCTCCCCAAAACCGTGTGTGTGCCTCGCGTAATTTTAACAAGAACAATGACAACTATAACAACAACAACAGGAAGAGAAAAAAAATAACCCGACGCACCCCCCCCAAATAAATACCCCATTCCCCAAAACCAACATATATACACGCACTCCGGACGCCTCCCCCCACTGTCCGCAAGGGCCCCCCAACGGCCGACCTCACAATAGTCTGCGCATTTTGGCGCGCGTTCTCGCGGCGGGCCCGTCACAAGGGCCCGTCCCGGCACGCTCAGTGGCGGTTGTTGACGGTCCGGGTGCGAGAGAGTCTGGCTTCGCTGCCGAGTGACCCCCGACCCCTCCGGGAGGGGTTGGCGGGCATGGACCCATCACTCCTGTTGCACCTGGAGATGGAACAGTTGATGTCAGGTTAGGCGAGAGCAGCGACGTCGGGGAGTCGGCGGACCCCTCACACGTTTGGCCATGCGTGTGTGTGTGCGAACCATGGGGCGGCGCAACGAACGGTTTCAACCTTGAGGGGTGCACGTACCACCGACGCCTCCCCCATTTGACGTGAACACATTGCGGCCGCAAGACCTGTACGACCTCCACGGGCCCCCGCCACGGCCGTACCAACTTTGACGAGGTCGCCAGCGGCACCTGGGGACAGTGCAACCATGCCCTGTCCCCTGGTTTCCATTTGAACACATGTACCCACCCCAGCCGAAGCCTCTTGTTCGCCTTCTGGC